CCGAAAGATCACTCGACGAAAGAAGAGAATGGATCGAGTCGACTGAAGACAAGTTGCTCACTATCGACGAAGAGGTTCTTTGGTCCGGAACAACGCACGACCAGTGTGCAAAGGTTAATCGGAAACAACATCAACTCCTACCTCACTCGAGGCCTCAATCCATTCGGGGGCTAATGATGGGGTCATGTACCTAGGGTAGGGTCATGGACCTGATCTAAGTACCTTACCCAGGACGCCCTTAGAAGAGGTCACCTTCCAGTCGACCAACGAGGGACTCACTCGACTGACTTGAAGGACTCGACCATGAAGGCTCACTCGACCACCAGAAGGTCAAGAGACACTCTACACTGCAACGGCCTGTAATTAAGTAGACTTTATGACAGTAAAGACACTTTATGTGGGGCGTTACCAGTAACGCCCCGGACTTAACTCACCTTAAACCCTCTCCTACGTGGTCTGGCTGGGGTCCTGACGCACTCTATATAAGCCACCCCCCTCCACAGGCAGAGGGGTTCGGCACCTTGTAACTCATATACACATCATCCACTCGACCGCCTCCGGGCTCCGAGACGTAGGGCTTTTACTTCTTCCGAGAAGGGCCTGAACTCGTACATCTCTTGTGTTTACAACCTCTCCATAGCTAGGACCTTGCCTCTCCATACCTACCCCCCACTCTACTGTCAGGCTTAGAACCACGACAGTTCCATCCTAGGATTTTCATTTGGCCCGGCGGTCCTCCTCCTTAGAGGCCGCCGATGCGCCATTCTCATCTTTTTCTTCACCCACCCACTCCACTCCTTGCGGAGTATATTCTTCCTCCTTCTCGTCTATCTCCTTTGTAACGTGCATAACACCCCCCTCCTTGTCCTGGACTACCTCAACTCTACCAGTACACACCCGTTTGGATGAGGCGGTTACATCGCCATATAACATGTGCTCATAGTTGTCCATCTCTTTCTCAAAAGAGAACTCTAAGTCACTACCCGTCGGTTGGACCCCAAAAGAATGTCCCCCTTTTTCCCTAAAACTTTCTTATGAGCATCCTCAGCTCTATTTGCTCCCCCTTTCTTTTTTTCTCTCTTTTTTGAGCTTCCCTTCGTATGGTTTTTCCCTGCACTGAACTTAAAACATAGGGCATTATTTTCTGGGTCGCCACCTGCCGTACCCATTCTTGCAGCAACAGCGTTTGTTAATGCCTCCAGCACACCCGGCTAGAAAAGAAATCCATCAGCATCAGCCCCATGATTTGGGACTAGGCTGGGCATGCCCAGCGCTTGAGAGGATTTGGGCTTTAGACCCCCCAGGAGAAATTGGTCCAGACCAGTAGTAGTAGTGTGGCTTACTTGACCCTCCTGGTCGTGCGGACCTCCATGGTGCGGGTCCACCAGAGGCACTTTGCCCCGCCCTACTCGCTCGCCAGAAACAGTCGGCGCGCCTGCCTGGTCCTCCCAGCCAAGTGCTACGTCAGCCAGAACAGGCGCCATGAGCCCCCGATCCCGACCCTCCTGGCCGAGTGTCAACTTGACGGATGAGGAGGCCCCTTTGTCCGTGACCGTGAGTCCTCTCACGGCAGTGGCCACCTTGACGACGTCCATGGGCTTGGCGGTGTTGTTGACGGTGCCCGAAGAAGAATTCTTGCCATCGCGAAGATAGTTCCCGAAGAGGAGACCCCTCTTACTAGCGCCTTGGCTCTTCCGGTAGGGTTCTACACTCAGATTTCTAGGATAACAAACAACCCTCTTATCACGAGGGATTTTACAAAACCTCTCAGAAGTGTGGCCAACAATTCCACAACACTCGCAGTACAGGGGAAGCTTTTCATACTTTACATCATACTTAAAAACCTTAGAACTACCTAGAGGTGTAAACTCTACAGAACACTTTAGAGGTTCATGCAGTAATATCTTGACACGCACCCGCACGTATTTATCAACAATTACATGGTTTTGGTGAGCAACCTCCAACACCTCGCCTAGTTGATCCTCAAGAGACCTCCCTATGCTTTCAGTCTTAAGCTCGAATGGAAGATCACGTACCTGGACCCATATGGCCATGACACCAAGGTCGACCTCTGCTGGGTCCCCCTTGTCGTCGAACTCGGCGAAGATGAGACTGTCATGCTTGAAATGCCAAGGTTGCGCCTTTAGCACAAATCGTCGATCACTGTCAGCAGCGAGATTGAGGATAAACCTCCTGTCTGCGTTGTCCACCTCTTGGATGGTGAGCGCCCCTTGGTTCTTCCAGACCGTGTTCCGGAGGTCGTCGACAATGACCCTCGGATTGACCTGGAAAGGGGAGAGAAGGCGCCCCACCACTAGGAATCCGTTGACGGCCTTGCGGGCAGCCTCCAAGTCAATGACGAGAGGACGGCCCTCTCCTCGGCCGCGTCCCAGAATCATCGAACTCGGCTGGTCATGCGGCACTAGGTGGGAGGAGGAGCCAGCATGACCGAGCGCCGGCGGGGA